ACACTACCGGTGCCGCTGGCTCCAGTGTGACCTGGGAGCCCGGGCTGAGCTCCAGGCTGCTCCTGCGGCCCCAGTGGGGCTGGTCCAGGGACAGGCTTTCACTGAAGCACTTTCTGTGCCCATCTGGGGTGGGGACTTTCTCCAGCTGGACCCAGTCCCAGGCTCTGCTGCCCCTGGCCGGGAGCTGCAGGCACCAGGGGCCAGAGAGACCCCAGGGCCAGCACTGGGCGGGCAGGACAGAGACTCCGCACAAAGGCTCCGGGAGCAGCAGGTCTCGCAGCCCCTTTGGATCTGCTCCCGGGCGGGGAACGTGCCTGGGCGGGGCCTGGACAGTGATGGAGCCACTGCCCGCACGTGGCCTCAGGTGTCGTGTGAGAAACTGCCCCCTGTAGGAATTTGGTACTGAGGGTGCACTGAGCATCCTCACATGAACTGAGCATGCTCAGTAACATCTGCTGAAGCCACTTCCCTTCACCCTGCCCTGACTTGGAATCAGATTCTGCAGACTGCTATATACAGGGGTTCAAAGGGGGTAAATCAGAGGAGGGGGGGTAGCCAGAATCTGAGGAGGGGTGGAAATTGACTGGTCAGGGGGGTCAAACAGCTGGAGGCAGGGTTAGGAGAGGGGCTGAGGGGTAAAATCAGGGATCGGAGGGAAAGGAGCTGCCAGACGGCAACAGAGGATAAAACGCCAGTACAGGCAGGGGCAGAGGGGGTAAGAGCTACCTTGGTGGACTGAGACCCCAGTGTTTGCAAAAATAGGGTCGAGGCAGAGGGGCTTCTTAATTTCCCCTCCCACAAACAGCACCTCTCAGAGTGGGCTTCCCAGGGCTGGGTTCTTAAAGGCACAGGCATCCCAATGCTCATCACTGCAGCTCCTCTCTGTCTGATCTGATGTTACCTACTGAGATGCTGTAGGAGACTTGACTGCTGCAGTTTCCACGGTATACATCTGATGAAGTGAGCTGTAGCTCACGAAAGCTCATGCTCAAATAAATTGGTTAGTCTCTAAGGTGCCACAAGTACTCCTTTTCTTTTTGATTCAGTGAAATACTTTACAGAAACACAGAACCCCTTGTCAGTGTGTCTGACTGCATAAAGTCTCATAGCAGTTCACAAATTTGTCTTATCTGCTGCTGGGATTCCCTGAAATACTCTTATCACTTCATCATTTAGCTTTGTTATTGTGCAGATGCATATCATTCTGCTATTTCATTTCTATTTTACCAAGTACTCATTGTTATAGAGTGTAGGGCAGTCAGGGCCCTGCACCCCCCCACTTCCTGCAATTCACCATGACTCTCAGCCAGACAGTAACACAGAAGGCTTATTAGATGACAGGAACACAGTCCAAAGCAGAGCTTGTAGGTACAGGAAACAGGACCCCTCCATCAGGTCCATCTTGGGGGGTGGGGAGCCCAGAGCCCGGGGCTGGGCTTCCCTCCATTTCCCCAGTCAGCTCCAAAACCGAAACCCCTTCCTGCTGCCTCACCCAGCCACCCCCCAGCTCTTCCGCCAGCCTTTGTCCAGTTTCCCAGGCAGAAGGTGTCACCTGGCCCCAACCCCCTCCTGGGCTCAGATTATATGCTTACGTATCATCCCTCAAGTGAAGTCACACCCTGATATCTCACCACCATCTAATATTAATACAGACAGTAATCTAGTGAAATTCCCATGTAACATCACCAGGCCAACACTCCCCACTCCCTGCTCCATCACATCTCTTCCCCCATTTGAGACTGAACTGAGTGGGGTCACTCTAACCAGTGACCTGGGGAAGTTCAGGCCCCCCTCTCTGGGACAACGCATCAGCTATCCTGTTGGCACTCCCCTTCACATGGACCACCTCCATATCATCATCCTGCAGGAGCAGGCTCCACCTCAGGAGCTTGGCGTTGGCTCCTTTCATCTGGTGTAGCCAGGTCAGGGGAGGGTGGTCGTTGTACATGGTGAAGTGTCGCCCAAATAGATATGGCTGGAGTTTCTTAAGGGCCCACACCATAGCCAGGTATTCCTTCTCTATAGCCATGTAGTTTTGCTCCCAAGGTAACAACTTCTTGCTCAAGTACACGTTGGGATGTCTCTCCCCCTTTTCATCAACCTGCATTAACACTGCCCCCCAGCCCTGTGTCTGAGGCATTGGTGAACACCATAAAGGGCTTGTCAAAGTCTGGGTTTACCAGAACTGGGCCACTGACCTGAGCCTCCTTCAATGCACAGAGAGCCTCCTGGCACTCCTCAGTCCAGACCACCTTGTCTGGCTTCCCCTTCTTGCATACCCAGTGATGGGGGTGGCTATTGAGCTAAAGTGTGGCACAAATCTTTGATAATACCCTGCCTTCCCAATAAAGGCTTGGACCTGCTTTTTGGTTTGGGGAGTGGTCAATCTCTGATCGCCTCCACCTTGGCTGGTTCTGGCTTTAGGCAGCCGCTCCTCACCCGTAAGATGAGGTAAGATACTTTGGCCATCCCCACCTGGCACGTCTCAGCTTTTATGGTCAGCCCAGCCCTCTGGAGTCAGTCCAGCACTTGTCTAACTTGGGACACATGGTCCTCCCAGGTCTGGCTAAAGACACAGATATTGTCAATATACGCCACGGCAAAACTCTCCATCCCCCTCAGTAGCTGATCCACCAGGTGCTGGAAGGTGGCCAGTACCCCCTTGAGGCCGAAAGGCAGGGTCAGGAACTCAGAGCCCCAGACGGGTGCTAAAGGCCATTTTCAGCCTGGTATTTGCATCCAGTTGCACTTGCCAGTAGCCCTTTGTAAGATCCATGGTGGTAAGGTACCGGGCTCCTCCCAGCTTGTCAAGGAGCTCATCAGCCTGGACATGGGGTGGGCATCAGATATAGTGATGGCATTGAGCGTCCGATAGTCCACACAGAACCGGACCGACCTGTCCTTTTTGGGGACCAGCACCACAGGTGAGGCCCAAGGGCTGGCAGATGGCTGGATCACCCCCAAAGCCAGCATGTCCCACACCTCTCTTTCCAGGTCCTGAGTAGTTTTCCCTGTGACTCAGAAGGGGGAGCATCTTATAGGCGGGTGTGATCCTGTCTGCACCCAGTGGACAGTCTGATTAGTGAGTCCAGGCTGGTTGGAAAACAGCTGTTAGTACAAATGCAGCACCCCTCTGATCTCAGCTTGCTGGGCAGGGGTTAGTTGAGCAGAGAGGGGAATTGTTTCCAGGGAGGAGCGAGCTTCTGTCTCAGGGAATAGATCTACTAAGGGGTCATCTCCCTGCTCCTCCCACTGTCCACACACAGCCAACACCACAGTCCCCCTTTCATAATATGGCTTCATCATAACAACATGGTACACCTGGTGGCAGTGTGCCTGGTTAGACAGCTCCACCACATAGTTTACCTCATTTAGTTGCTTGACAAAGGTCTTCCCAGGTAGTTTGTAGTTTGTTTCTTCTCCTGGGGAACAGAACCATCACCTGGCCTTTGGTGGCATAGGCGCAGTCCCATGCCATGAGATCATACCAGACCTTCTGCTTCCTCTGGGCTTCCTTGGCCAAGCCCATGAGCTCAGCAAGTCTTTCTCGGAAGCTGAGGACATACTCCACCACTGATTCTCCATTGGGAGTGACCATCCCCTCCCATTAATCTCTCATCAGGTCCAGGGGCCCCCTTATCCTTCTTCCATATAACAGTTCAAAAGGCAAAAACCTGGTAGACTCCTGGGGCACCTCCCTGTACGCAAACAGCAGGTGAGGTAAGAACTTGTCCCAGTCCTGCGGGTGCTGGTTCATAAAGGTTTTCAGCATCATCTTTAGAGTTCCATTGAATCTCTCCCCCAGCCCATTGGATTGGGGGTGTTACGCTGAGGCCCAGATGTGCCGGATGTCACATTTCTCCCCCAAGCACCGGAACAGGGCTGACATGAAGTTGGATCCTTGGTCTGTCAAGATTTCGTTGGAGGACCCCATTTGGCTGGAAATTGTCAGCAGCGCATCTGCCACTCTGCTTTGATAGAAGACAAGGCCACTGCCTCAAGGTAGCAAAATCTACCACCCCCAGAATGTATTTCTTCCCCGACTGGGTCGTCTTGCTGAGAGGCCCCACGATGTCCATGGCCACCTTCTGGAAAGGCTCCTCTATGATGGGCAAAGGTCTCAAAGCCGCTTTCCCCTTGTCCCGGGCCTTCCCCACCCTCTGACAGGGGTCACAGGATCGGCAATACTGCCGGACCGTGGTAAAGACCCCGGGCCAGTAAAAGTTCTGTAGCAACCTCTGCCGGGTGCGCCGGATTCCCTGGTGCCCTGAGAGGGGGATGTCCTGGGCCAGGTACAGTAGTTTGCGGCGATACTTCTGGGGGACCACCAGCTGCCTCCGGATTCCCCACGCATCTTTAGAAACACAGGCCTGTACAGAAAGCTGCAAGCAGGGACTTTCTTTCCAGACCAGAGGGTGACCAGAGGGTGAAAATGCCAGTAGTGATCCTGGGAGACCCAGCCTAACCCTTGCTCTCGTGGCTCATGAAGCCGGCCACCGGCCACCTTCACAGCAGCAAGGAGAGCTTGACCAACAGGCTCAGTGGGTGTAGAATGACTGGTGAATGTGCCTGCGGCCATTTGAAAGGTCACTCGTGGTGTCTCCTCAGGAAGTTAGATCTCAGTGAGGGCAATATCCCCATAGTCATAACTGTCTGCTGTATGCTTCATATCTGTGAAGTAAAGGGGAAGAAGTTTTCTTAAGGGTGGAGCATGGAAGTTGAACAGCTGCCAGCTGATTTTGAGCAGCCAGATACCAGGTCTGTAAGAGGGGCTCAGCAGGGAGCTATTTGGATCAGGTAGGCTTTGAAGGAGCATTTTAACAGTGAGCCCCGGTAATGTGTGTTGCTGGCACTGGTTTTTTGTACCATGGTATGAACCTTGTAATGACTGTTCTGTGTGCACTGCTCTGACAATGCACATGCACCTATTGCTACTGTCTCCGAATGTTAGCAACAGTCACCGTGTGTTGGAGGACAATAAAGATTCATTCACTTTCCGTAAGTAGATTTTTATTCAACATCCATGCAAACGTAACTATGTAATGCTGAGGTAGACTTCAGTCCTATAGAGAAGAGTAGCTATAAAGGGGAAGGAAAAGGAAATTCACAAGCACATACACCAATGAGGCTCTCACAGCTGAATGTATTATGTGTAATCACCTGCGGGGTGGAGTGCCTGGTGTGACTCATTGGTGCCTGGGGCAGCCCTCACTGAAAATGCCAAGTTCAGGGCAGGCTGCAAAAGGGAGGGCAGATACTCTCAGAACTGGTGGTCAACACGGAAGTTAAACTCTTCAGTCACAAACTGTGCTTCTGATCCCCCCACACTGGTTATCAAGAAGCTAAAAAAAGAAACCACGCTGCCCCATTTATTGCATTCCAGTCAGTACCTAGCTCCAGTACAGTGAGAAGTTATTTTAAAACTCTGCTCACATATACACAATGACCTTCTGACCCCAAAGGGTCAGCCATGTTACCAGGTCAGTATTAGGTTGTATCTTACCCAAAATACCAAGCTGCCAGCTAATCCTTTAGCACCTAAAACTAAAGGTTTATAAGGAAAAAAGAAAGAACAAGAAGAGAGTTGTTGAATGATAAAACACTCAGATACATACAGAGACTTCAAAGTCCATATATCAGGTTCTCAGCAGCGTTGGTGAGTTTGCTGGCTTGAAAGTCCCTCTGAAACACATCCACAACTTGGATGAGTCATTCAGTCCTTTGTTCAGATCTTTGTTTGTAGAAAAGAGGAAGAAGCAGGAATGAAGACAAAATAGAGATGATGCAGCTGCCCTTTATATTCCTTTTGCCATGTGGCCTGTACTTCCTGTCCCAAACACAAGCTTCACAGCACATGGCATGGAAAAGGCTTACAGTTATGTCCATAAGCAGACCATGTGCCTTGCTGACTTGTAAGGTGTTAGTCCCTGGCTTTTTCAATGGGTTCATTGTACAGCTGATGACCGTTGATGGGCCATCAAACAGGCTAGGCAGTGCTGATGCCAATCTGTCTGGGGGTGTCACTCATATGCACAGCACAAGTTCAAAATACAGTTATAATCTACATATCTATAACTCACAATACAAAGGTGATACAAACATAAACAAGATCATCATATTTGGCAAATCATAACATTTTCACAAATACCTCACGTGGAATATCTGGTCAGATTCCTTGCAATTTTATAGTATTGGTGATAACAGTATCCTAAAGTTGGCTCTCCTAACAGCTGTGTGAGAGGAGGCCAGCTTCACCCATGAGCAAGATGGCATTTGAGTCGTTGATTGTGCAGCACCCAGAAGAATCAAGGGCCCCGATCCCAGAGGGAGGCTGAAGGAATTCTTGAGCACGTGCTGAGTAGCACCAGGGATGGATATTTTTAAAGAGAACAAAGTGGAAAAAACCCTCAACAACAGGAGCTCCTGTGGAGCTGCCGTGACCACCCCATGAGTCATCAGCAGAGCGGGAACTTTAGATCCACCACATAGGACATATCTGACAAATGACTGAATTTAATAAGCATTGCAGGGAGGGATTAGCCAGTGTTCCTGCAACATCAGTGTGTTTCGGGCAGATTTGCCACCGCCAGGGCCCTGGGCTGGGACCCAGTGGAGCAGGGAGGGCTTGGGTCCCCCTACTCTTTGAGTAGGCAGTCCACCAAACCTCCCTTATTGATTCTGGCCATTGGGCCTCACTTCCCTGCAGCTGAGGGGAGCCCTATTTATTCTGGCCATTGGGCCGCACTTCCCTGCAGCCCAGGGGAGCCCTATTGACTTTGTCCATTGGGCCGTGCAGCCCCAAGGCTAAGAGCAGTCATATAGACTTAAGTGCAGGGCTACCACACCCTTTGCCCCAACCCCCAGGGTGATGGGGCGTACTTGCTCTGCGACATGCAAGAATACTGTGCGTACCTCAGTTTCCCCTATGTGTTGCACAAGTATCTAGGTGGTGGAATATGGGTGTGTGATCTTTGCAGGGGCCCCCGGAGGGCAGGTGTGAGTGCTATCTAGCTGCCTGAGCCCCCTGGATACTCTGTATTCTGGCAACTGATAGCTGGAGCCCATCATGCCCAAGGAGCCAGCCGAAGGAGCTGGAGAACAAAGAGACAGTTGGAGGCCAGGTGACCAGTTTGGCTGGAAAAGAGACAAAGGATGGAGGAGGGGCAACAGGGCATGACTGAGGGTGGACTGCTAGAAGCTGGTCATTCTCCTGGCTTGGGATTCAGATGGAAGAGCCCAGGGCTCTGGATCCCCCACAAGATGGCCTTTGCTGTAACATCCTGCTTTCTGTGCTTACAAGATCCGTTCTACACTGTGTTCCAGATGACTAAAAAAAACCCTTCTGTTTTATAATGCTGGCTAAGAGTCACTGGTGACTGCGAAGGTGGGGAGCGTGGTCCCTTTGGGGGCAAGTAATCCTCCCACCAGGTGTCCTATTCAGGTAGACTCATTGCAGGGAGCTCATGGCATGGATCAGGGGTGCTGGACACTCTGAGGTCAGACCCAAGGAGACACAGAAGCTGAGGAGGCTTTCTCTAAAGAGTGTGCCCTGACGGATGTCACACTACACAAGGGTCCTGTCTGAACTTCATTCAGAGTGGTTCCAGAGCACCAAGCCAGGGCAGCCCATGACGCTCCCAGCCCCAAAGGGCCAGTCACATACCACAGGTCAATGGATACTCTTGATCTCACACCAACGACAATGCTGCAGCCAATTTTTCTCTTCTAGTAAACTAACTCAAGATTTATTAGCTAAGAAAAGGAAATGAGAGTTCCAGGTTAAAACAGGTAAAATACAGGTGAGACCAAGTTTGTAAGTCCAAAATGATAGCAGAGCTGTAGTTATTTGCCAGTGTCCAAAAGTCTCCAGCGATACCCAAAACAACTCTGGGGAATCTCTGTCTTGTATCTGGAATGCTTCCCTGTAAGTGGCCTAACAGCTCAGAGAGACGGGATCATTCCCAGGGTTCATTCTTATTCACTGATCTCCAGAAAGCAATCTGGCAAGTGCTCTCATCACAGCATGGCCTCTTCCTTTGTTGACTAACAGACTCAGGACATGTCTGCACTACAATCGTAAGTCAAACTAGGTGGCTAATGTCCACACTACCCTCCTTCTGTCGGTGGTGCACGTCCTCACCAGAGCACTTCCAGGGGGGAGATCCACACTCAGGGTCCAGTCATCTGCTGTGCTCCCATGGGGAACTGAGAGCCCGGGGGGAGGGAGGGGGTGCAGGGCTCCCAGCTGGGAGTTTGAGTGGCCGCCAAAATTGGGAGCCTGGGTGTCAGCCTGGCTTGAAGCAGAGACCTGGCAGCAGCCTGGCTGGGGAGCCGGGCCTTCTTATCAATTTCATGGCACCAGCGGATGTAAGCCAAGAGCCGATGTAAGTAACACAGTGTCTACACTGATACTGCGTCACCCTAACTACGTAAACCCTATGCTTCTCATGGAGGTGAATTTATTACGTCAGTGTAATAGGACCTTTACATGGGCAGGAGCAAGGCTGTAGTGTGTACACTGACATAGTTAGGTCAACATAAGCTGCCTTACGATGACATAACTGTGTAGTGTGGACCAGGGCTAAGTTTGTAGATTTCCCAGTGTCAAACACAATGACCCATGCTTTGACGTCAGCATGCTTCTTCATTTACCGCTCCAAGGCTCCAATCCCGATGCAAGAATAGTACCATTATGCATTCATTTGAGCATTCCAAGCAATCTTTCATTAGTTGAAATGAAGTTTACACATCAAGTATATTCTCATCCTAATACAAACACATGCTTTTGGTCAAGGGTTAACTAGGTATAGGGGCATAGATAATGTAAGGTTATAGCAATCAACAGGTTTATGGATAAGCAAGAACAATAACATTACATTTCCTCTGAAATATACCAACACAGAAGTGAATTGGCCTGATCACAGTACGATACCTTTTGACACTCCGTTGATTTCTCTTCACATGTGAGTGAATTAGGCTGCTGCCTTGGTCTGAGCTGGCAACCTGATAGCATCACAGCTCCTTTCTAGACTTCAAGCGTATTAGCCTCTGAGCGCTGAGGACACTGCATCGACATTCTGGGAGGTGGATAGGCAGAAAGTGAAGAAGATAAACTTAGAAGGTAACACAGCTGGGGCGATGCTGCAGGAGGGAATCCCTGCGAATCACCCATCCCCTTCAGGTGCCCCAGAGGCTGAAACCACACTTTCCCCCACCCTGCTTCTGCTCTTTGTTATATTTACGTGTAATTTAAATGAGGAAAAGGGTACAAAACGTCTTGAGCACACCCAAATCCAATGTGTGAACAACTGGGAATGAGACGATCTGTTCCAGAGGGTGAACTCCGTGGCTTTAACAGTCACTTTGCAGTGGGAGGAAGAGTATAAATGTGATGCTCCAGATTGGCTTTGACTAGGAGATGGAGGCTGGGTCAGGTCATAAGGAAATGAACTCGATAACCCTAGATATGGTCTATGTCATTACTGTAAGAATAGTTGGGCTTTTACATCAGGATAGCTAACGAGAGCTACCTAACTCCACAGAAAATCCTACTGGGGATGAAGCCTGGGTAGATTTTATGTTGATATAGCTAGACCCATATCTCCCACACCTTGAGCAGACTGACATGCCTGGCAGGAGGGCCACACATTCCCCTGAGTCATAGGACTATGGAGTTTTACAGAAAGGCCCATGAGATTCACCCCAAAGAAGGGCAAGCTGTAAAAAACAAAAATGGGAAACCACATGGGGTGCTGAGGGACCATGGTGAAGCAAATGGTGCAGGCAGCCTTAACGGTCTTGATGTCAGAATTAGGAAAAAGTATTAAAGGGGAAAAAATCATTTGTGAGCCCTGGATATGGTTTTTATGGTTTATCATTTCCCTTGTGGAATTTCTGATGCCTAGCAAGTTGTGAGCTCTCAGTAAAGCATTTCCCGCACTCGCTGCATTCATAGGGTCTCTCCCCACTGTGGATTCTCTGATGTCTAAGGGCTGAGTGCCAAGTGAAGGTTTTCCCACACTCGCTGCATTCGTAGGGCCTCTCCCCGGTGTGGATTCTCCCATGATTCATAAGGTGTGAGCGTTGAGAGAAGGTTTTCCCGCACTCAGTGCACTGATGGTGTTTCTCTCTTGTGTGGACGCGCTGATGTTTGGTAAGGGTTGAGTGCTCAGCGAAGCTTTTCCCACACTCACTGCATTCGTGGCAGCGTCCGCCGGCGTGGATTCTCTGATGTGTAATAAGGTGTGAACTCTCAGTGAAGCTTTTCCCGCACTGACCACATTCATAGGGCCGCTCCCCGGTGTGGATCCTCTGATGTTTAGTAAGGCTAGAGTGATCAGTGAACCTTTTCCCGCACTCACGGCATCCATAGGGTCTCTCTCCCGTGTGGATTCTCTGATGTTTAGTAAGGTACGAGCTCTGGCTGAACCGCTTCCCGCACTCACCGCATTCGTAGGGCTTCTCTCCTGTGTGGATTCGCTGGTGTGTGATAAGGTGTGAGCTCTCAGTGAAGCTTTTCCTACACTCACAGCATTCATAGGGCCTTTCCCCCGCATGGATTTTCTGGTGTCTAATATGAGCTGAGCGCTGAGCAAAGGTTTCCCCACACTCACTGCATTCATAGGGTCTCTCCCCTGTGTGGATACTCTGATGTGTAGTAAGGGCTGAGCGCCAAGTAAAGGTTTTCCCACACTCACGGCATTCATAGGGTCTCTCCCCTGTGTGGATTCTTTGATGTGTAATAAGGTCTGAGCTCCGAGTGAAGCTTTTCCCACACTCGCTGCATTCATAGGGTCTCTCCCCAGTGTGGATCCTCTGATGTTTAGTAAGGGCTGAGCGCTGAGCGAAGGTTTTCCCACACACAGAGCATACGTAGGGCCGCTCCCCTGTGTGGATCCTCTGATGTGTAATAAGGTCTGAGTTCCGAGTGAAGCTTTTCCTGCACTCACTGCATTCGTAGGGTCTCTCCCGGGTGTGGATTCTCTCATGTCTAATGAGGTGAGAACTCTGAGTGAAGGTTTTCCCGCACTCACTGCATTCATAGGGTCTCTCTCCCGTATGGATTCTCTTATGATTACTAAGGCCTGAGCGTCCTCGGAAGTTTTTCCCACACTCAGTGCATGTGTTTTTTCCCTCTTCTGTGAGGTTTGTGTGCTGTCCTGTGGTTCCCCTGAGGTCTTTGTGAGTTGCCTGACAAGTAATGGATTTACCCTCTTTCTCCCCTGGCTGGCTCTCTGGCCTGTGCTGACTCTCATACAGTTTTCCTTCCTCAAGACGTCTGGACATATTCCCTTTGGATCTCTGCAATAACATCCTGTGCGGTTCCCCTTGCTCAGCATCCGTCTGCTGAAGATTCTGACCCTCCTTCTCACTCACCATCTCATCACCTGCTGGGACAGACAGAGAAACCACAAACAGGAATGGAAAATGGGAGAGATGTGCTGGAGAGATGGGGAAGAATCAGGAACTGAATTACCTAAACTTTTTTCCCCATAAGGGAGAGAAAAGGGGAGAAATTTTGTTTCCACATCCTATTCAAACACTCAGGATGACAGCAGGTCAGGGAAGAAGCTAAATGTCAGTCACGATAGGTAGGAAGTCATGAGCAATATCTGCCCTGAGGGTATGACACATGCTGGGGAAAATCCTGAATTCAGAGAGTTCACAAGGTCTTTGTAGGGAATCCCAGCTCTTTCCTTCAGGCACTGACAGTTTTTGAGTTGGTTTAATGATGCCTCACCTGTGCAGGCACCTCTCAGGATCCCTTGTTCCTCTGAGTCCTGGATTTCTGAGACCCACGGCTCTTCCCCTTTTTCCAGCTGGGAGATCACATCAGGTTTGGAAACTGGAAACCCTGCTCAGGGGAAGAAAACAAGGGACATCAGTTGAATACATGGGACGCTTGTCAGAAAAAAGTGTTCTATTATTTTAACCCCAGCCAGTAACCAGAGCCAGCTCCTAAGTTGCTCAAAGGTGCTGGACACTCTGCTTTTGGTGGATTTAACCATCCCCATCGCTCCTGTGAACACACAGAGCCAGACACTCATCATCAAAGAGGCTCCTAAAACACAGAGATTCCAAGTCCCAGACAGTGAAGGTTCCGGACAGTAGGGAAGTCCCTCTAGAAATGCTTCTTTCTGACAGAGAGAAGACCAGAGACTAGGAGATTTGGAAGAGGTGAGTATTGGCTGGTGGGGTTCAGCACAGTAAGGAAGAAGAGGGAGCCCAGAGGTCCCATAATGCAGTAAGTCAGCGGTATTATATGTCAGGAAAGCCCATTTTGAGGAAATAGGGACTCTAGTAAGTCAGGAGAAATGGAAGGGAGTATATAAATATCCCCCAGTGTGTGGATAACTCTAGTGAATTAAATACTATAATTTAGGTGCAACAGACTCTGATTCCTCTGGGAAAGGAGAATGTGAAAAAGAAGAATCAGGCCATGTGACTTCAGGAGGGACCGACTCAAAGATCCCAGGAACCTGCAGGGAAAACAGATTGTGGTTGCTACAGAAAGAGAGTGGGTGAAGTGAGACCCTTTCAGTCCCCAGAAGTTTCTCTACCAACCGATGACATCACTAGAAAGCACATGTTTGTGGCAGGGATGGAGCATATTGTCAGTACAAGGAACGTAAGATTTCAGCAAAGGTGCCTGGGCCACAGGGCATAGGGAAAAGATATGAGGGCGGAGGAAGCGGGGAAGTCACTGAGCCACAGAGAGAGAAGAAGAGTGAAAATAATAACATTTGAAAGAAGTATGTCAAATAAAGTGAAACTGGACTATCATAAGGAGAGAGTGCAGACTCCATATCGGGGTGGCCAATCTTACTGACCCTCTGAGTTGCATATGACAACCTTCAGCATCTCAAGAACTGGGGCACACCTGCTGGGGCTCAGGGCTTCAGCCTTGCTCTTGCTGAATCCCTGAGCCCCAGCAGGCATGCCCCATGGGGCTGGAGCCCCCCTCCTTGCTGGGCAGAAGCCAGAGGTGAAGCATGGGGGGGGCTCCCCAGTTTTTTACAAGGGTTTGCTGGCCCTGCTTGGTTACATGGTGCCACCAGGCCCCCTCCCTACATGGCCGCTACTGGAGCCGGCAAGCTGGGAGTTGTGGCCATGGGGAGAGGCAGCAGCAAACAGCTGGGAGCTTCAGGGAGAGCTGCTGCTTTTGCTGCTGCTTCTCCGCATAGAGCTAAAGCCGTGGCCCCTCCCTGCGGCTCCCAGCTGTTTGCTGCTCCCTCTCCACACTGAGCTAACACCTGGGAGCCGCTGAGGGTAAAGGGGGAAGCATACTTGGGGGTGTGTGACTCAAGCTGTTGGTGGGCGGCAAATATTTAAATTGTGACACTCCCCCCCCCCCCCCATCTCAGCAGATACCAGTTGTCTCTGGCAGAATCCAGATTCTGTGTTTATGGTGTGGGATTCCCTGATGGTGAACAGGGGACTGGAAATGGGAGTTTGAGAGGGGGAAGAAGGAGATCCCCCCCTGCTGAACGAACAAGATGCGAGTACTAATCTTGGGGTGAGTGAGTTTGTTTGTCTGTCTGTTTGTGTATTTCTTTCTCTTTCAGGTTATTTCAGTTACTGGGTCAGTTGGGATTGTGTGTCCCAGGACTGTTTGAGCCTTTGTTCCCTAAATCATCCTTGATCATCTTTGATCAGCCTCAATCAGCCTTGTGATCACCCTCCTGCTGTGTGATTAACAAAGGTGTAAACTGACCTAGGAGAGAAGACCTTAAAAGCCAGAGGCTAAGTGATGAAGGGGAGCTAGTGAAGAGGGGACTGCAAACAGGGGAGTTTGAGAGGGATTTTGTGGGAGGGAGCTGTAATATAATCACAAGGGTTTCCCACTCACAGAAAGCCAGGTTGGGGTGTTATCTAGGGTTATCAGAACCCCCAATAGGGGTGATTTAACTATTTCACTCCAGGCGGTGTAAGGAATAAGTCAACAGGAACTCAGCAATTCTGTCTGATCAAGGAGTAATGTAAGTAAGCATGTTTTCGTCTAACATTGCAGTTTATTAGATTTAATCACAGACAGACATAAGCAATAGATTTAGAACATCCCAGGTATTTACCTATATTCTGATATGGTGTGGCTCATCAATGACAGGTCAGTACTGGCCAAACGCCTCCCTGCTGGGGAGTAAAGCTATCAGGAAAATGTCTCTCCCAGCATAGCTCCCAAGGACTGCTCCCAAATACACTCTATTATCTAAACTTTTTATAACTAACTTCTACAAAACATATAGGTCATAATGACCCCTACTAAATCATCCCTTTTCCTAACTTTCAATAAACTTTTACAATCAGAGGCATCTAGACTCAAGCCTGTCCATCCACATAGTTTCTTTCACTCTCTGTTATTTATGTTTTCTTCCCTTCCTCCCATACTGATTAGCAAAACTGCCAGTAGTTATGACCTTGCGTCTGAAAGCCTGTCTCCAAATTAACCCTTAACTATGTGGTGTTCTATTTCATTAATTCATAGTGGCTGAGTGCATATAATATGGATGCAATTAGCTTAATTGCATTCTGGGGGTATAGACACCCCCGAAATCTAGGGCAACAGGGGGACCATCCAGTGTGAAAGGTACCTGCTGCTGGAATCTCTCAGGAAGCAGGTGGGAGAGTTACAGGAGGAGGTGGGTAGGCTGAGGAGCATCCGTGCCCACAAGGAATTCCTTGAGAGTATTCATATGGAGACATTCAAGGCTGAGGAAGCTATCCAGCTACAGAGAACCGCTGTCTCACCATCGGGGGAGGAGGGCATGGCTCTGTCACAGGGAGGACACTGGCTGCTGGTTACTTCTGGCAGCAGGCCGTGCCCCGTCCCTACTCCCAACCCACCCACCATGGTGTTGGAAAACCGATATGCTGCCCTGGCATTGAGTGATGAGGAATCACCCCCCAAAAGGTGGTGGAGGAGAAGCCAGGTTTCCCCAAGGCTGGGAGGATCGCAGTCACCACTCCCAGGAGGAAACATAGGGTAGTGGTGGTTGGAGACCTGAGGGGGACAGAGGCACCCATCTGTCAGCCTGACATGGCATCCCGGGAGGTATGCTGCCTGCCAGGGGCCCGTATCCAAGACATTATGGGGGGATTGTCGAGGATCATCCAGCCCTCTGACTACTACCCCATGCTACTTATCCATGTGGGCACTAATGATACTGCAAGGTAAGACCCTCAGCAGATCAGAAAGTGACTACAGGGCTCTGGGAGTACAGGTGAAAGAGTTGGGCATGCACATGGTGTTCTCTTCGATCCTTTCAGGCAAGGGTAGGGGCCTAGGCAGAGACAGCTGCATCCTGGAGGTAAATGCCTGGCTGCGAGGATGGTGTCGCCAGGAGGGTTTCAGCTTCCTTGCCCATGGGATGCTGTTCCAGGAAGAAGGACTGCAAAGCAGAGATGGGGTCCACCTATCGAAGAAGGGGAAGAGCATATTTGCTAACCAAGTGAGAAGGGCTTTAAACTAGGTTTGAAGGCGGCAGGTGACCAAAGCCCACAGGTAAGTCAAAAACATGGAGATCTGGGAGAAGGGTTGGAATCTGTGGAGAGAATGGGCTGTTATAGCAGAAATAAGGGAGAGACAAGACAGAACTGGGCTGGTGGGGGATCAAATCAATATCTTAGATGTCTGTATACTAATGTGAGAAGTATGGGGAATAAGCAGGAAGAACCCAAAATGCTGGTAAATAAACACAACTATGACATAGTTTGCATCACAGATTGCTGGGATAATACACATGGAATATTAGCATAGAAGGGTACAGCTTGCTCAGGAAGGACAGGCAGGGGGAAAGGGAGGAAGTGTTGCCTTATATATTAAGAATGTCTACACTTGAACTGAGGTTGAGATGGAAATAGGAGACAGACTTGTTGAAAGTCTCTGGGTACGGCTAAAAGGGGTAAAAACGAGGGTGATGTCATGGCAGGTGTCTACTACAGACCACCTAACTGGGAAGAAGAGATGGATGAAGCTTTTTTAAACAACTAACAAAATCATCCAAAGCACAGGACTTGGTGGTAATGGGGGACTTCAACTCCCCAGACATCTGTTGGGAAAACAACACAGCAGGGCACAGATTACCCAATAAGTTCTTGGAATGTATTGGAGACAATTTTTTATTTCAGAAGGTGGAGAAAGCTACTAGGGGAGAAGCTGTTCTAGATTTGATTTTGACAAATAAGGAGGAACTGGTGGAGAATTTGGAAGTGGAAGGCAGCTTGGGTGAATGTGATCATGAAATGGTAGCGTTCATGATTCTAAGGAATGGTAGGAAGGAGAACAGCAAAATAAAGACAATGGATTTCAAGAAGGCAGACTTTAGCAAACTCAGATAGCTGGTAGGTAAGATCCCATGGGAAGCAAGTCTAAGGGGAAAAACAATTGAAGACAGTTGGCAGTTTTTCAAAGAGACATTATTAAGAGCACAAGAGCAAACTATCCCACTGTGTAGGAGAGATAGGAAATGTGGCAAGAGACCACCCTGGCTTAACGAAAAGATCTTCAATGATCTAAAAATAAGAGTCCTACAAAAAGTGGAAACTAGGTCAAATTACAAAGGTTGAATAAAAACATATAACACAAGTTTGTAGGGACACAATTAGAAAGGCCAAAGCACAAAATGAGATCAAACTAGCTGGAGACATAAATGGTAATAAGAAAACATTCTACAAATACATTAGAAGCAAGAGGAAGACCAAGGACAGGGTAGGCCTGTTACTCAATGGGGGGTTGGGGGGGGCGGTGATAATAACAGAAAATGTGGAAACGGCAAAGGTACAAATGACTTCTAAAAATGACTTCTTTTTTCAGTTTTCACCAAGAAGGCTGGTGTTGATTGGACGTCTAACATAGTGAATGCCAGTGAAAATGAGGTAGGATCAGAGGCTAAATTTGGCAAAGAACAAGTTAAAAATTATTTAGAAAGTTAGATGTCTCCAAGTCACCAGGGCCGGATTAAATGCATCCTAGAACACTCAAGTTGCTGACTGAGGAGATATCTGAGCCATTAACGATTTATCTCTGAAAAGTCATGGAAGGTGGGAGAGATTCCAGAAGACTGGAAAAGGGCAAATATAGTGCCAATCTATAAAAAGTGAAATAAGGACAACCCAGAGAATTACAGCTTAACTTCTATACCCGGAAAGATAATGGAGCAAATAATTAAGCAATCAATTTGCAAACATCTAGAAGATGACAAGGTGATAAGTAACAGTTGGCATGGATTTGTCAAGAACAAATTGTGTCAAACCAACCTGATAGTTAGCTTTCTTTCACAGGGTAACAAGCCTTGTGGTTGGGGGGAAGAGGTAGATGTGGTATATTTTGAATTTAGTAAAGCTTTTGATACTGTCTCACATGACCTTCTCATAAACAAACTAGGGAAATGCAACCTAGATGGAGCTACTATAAGCTGGGTGCAAAACTGGTTGGAAAACCATTCCCAGAGAATGGTTATTGGTGATTCACAGTCATGCTAGAAAGGCATAATGAGTGGGGTCCCACAGGGATCGATTCTGGGTCCGGTTCTGTTCAATATCTTCATCAATGATTTCAATAATGGCATAGAGAGTACACTTATAAAGTTTGTGGACAATACCAAGCTGGGAGGGGTTGCAAGTGCTTTGGAGGATAGGATTAAAATTCAAAATGATCCAGACAAACTGGAGAAATGATCCGAAGTAAATAGGATGAAATTCAATACAGACAAATGCAAAGTACTCCATTTAGGAAGGAACAATTAGTTGCACTCCTACAAAATGGGAAATGACTGCCTAGGAAGGAGTACTGCGGAAAGGGATCTGGGGGTCATAGTGGATCACAAGCTAAATATGAGTTGAAAGTGTAACACTGTTACAAAAAACCTGAACATCTTTCTGGGATGTATTAGCAGGAGTATTGTAAGCAAGACACGAGAAATAATTCTTCCTCTTTATGCTGCGCTGATTAATCCTTGACTGGAGTATTGTGTCTAGTTCTGGGTGCCATATTTCAGGAAAGATGTGGCCAAATTGGAGATAGTCCAGAGAAGAGCAACAAAGATGATTAAAGGTCTAGAAAACATGAGCTATGAGGGAAGATTGAAAAAATTGGGTTTGTTTAGTCTGGAGAAGAGAAGACTGAGAGGGGCCAGGATAACAGTTTTCAAGTACATAAAAGGTTGTTACAAGGAGGAGGGAGAAGAATTGTTCTTCTTAACTTCTGAGGATAGGACAAGAAGCAGGGGGCTTAAATTGCAGCAAGGGAGGTTTAGATTGGACATTTGGAAACTTCCTAACTGTCAGGGTGGTTAAGCACTGGAATAAATCACCGAGGGAGGTTGAAGAATCTCCATCATTGGGAATTTTAAGAGCAGGCTGGACAAACACCTGTCAGGGATGGTCTAGATAATACTTAGCCCTGCCACGAGTGCAGGGGACTGGACTAGATGACCTCTCGAGGTCCCTTCCAGTCCAATGATTCCATAATGCTATGGAACCATAGTCCCAAAATCTCCCCTATGTCACACTGACCCCCTCCACACATTTCCCAGGTGTTCCTTGGCCCAATTTCTCCACCCCAACCCCCCCATGACAAAGTTGGAGCTGCTCTGTAATGCTGATGAATTCTGTATGTTGACCTGGATATTGGGATATTTACTGTGTGAATAATTTGATTAGTTTAATGGGGGGGGGGGGGGAGGCCTGTAAGAAAACGAGCAGAAAGGGAAGGTGAATGGCTCATGATGAGTCACACCTTGGCAGTCCCTTTCTAAGAAACAATGCCCGAACTATTTGCTTTGAATATTCTACCTCCTTTCTCCAGCCAACTTACAGAACTGGGTTTCATGAGCTGCGCCAGGCCTGGGACTCAAAAAATCAAAAGGCCTGGAGCAGTTGAAACAGGGACTCCCTCTATAGAGGAGGCTGGCTGCTCAGATAATTATTTGGAGAAGTGAGACAGAAACTCAGGGACCCTGCTGGGGTGTCTGAAGAAGCGAGACCTGCCTATCTGATGACTGGGGATGACAGGCTTTTAGGTAAGACAGGCATGTGTGAAAACAGTTAGTTTAAAATCCTTTTTGCTCTTATGCTTTTTTCCTGTGCAAAATAAACATGACTGTGGTTTGAAGAAACTTGTTTTGAAGAAACAAGTTTGAAGAAACTTGTTTTGTCACTGTGCACCCCTGATCCCAGACTCTCAAAGGTGTTTGCACTCAACCTGAGTTGCTGGGTAAGCACAGCTGATATGCCAGTTATTGTCACCCAGGGCTTTGGCTGGGAGCAGGAGTATTCCAGAAATGCAAGAGGCCTGATAGCTTCGTGGGGGTGGGCACTCTGTCACCTGGAAGGGAACAGAGGTGTAGCTATGATACCCGGTCCCCTTCTTCTCACCAATCTCAGCCCTCCCCACCTCCTGTGACCCAAGGAGTACCCATTCCTTGTGTTCTTTCCTTCCCCACAGTTGTCAGTTGGCTGGTGGGTGGGCGTGTTCTTTCTTTGTGCTGTTTAGCTTTGCACAGAGAATTGGTTCAGCAAACCTCGATAGTACTAACCAGTGTTGTTAAGTGCTAAAGGCTAAAATGTCATTGCCTTAGTAATGGTGTTCAGGGTGCCCCCTGCTTCTGTCCTTAAAATGTTAATGTAATTAGTAAATAGTGCAGCATGTTAATTCAGCAAACCTCAATGTTACTTATAAAAAAGACAGACACAAGCACGGTTCAGTGACAAAGGCACTCAGCCAGGTTTATTGCCCGCCAGGCACATTCCTAGTGCCCTGGCATCATGGTTACGCAATGTGGCTAATCATACAGTATTTCATCAGCTGCAAATCTGAATAGGAATCCAAGGAGCCTGTCCTGCTGTGTGCCATGGAAAGAAACCATTCCAGATTACTTTTGGCATTTATGGAGCAGCTGCACACAGTGGACCTTTGCTACTGCGCTCGGGAAACAAGCACTGAGTGGTGGGATCATATTTTTATACAGGTCTAGGATGAGGAGCAGTGGCTGAAAAACTTTTGGATGCACAAAGCCAACTTCCTGGAACTGTGAGCAGAGCTCACCTCTGCCCTGTGCTGCAAGGACACCAAAATGAGAGCTGTTCTCTCGGTGGAGAAGCACGTGGCAATTGCTGTGTGGAAGTTGGCTCCAGCTACTACAGGTTGGTCATGAATCAGTTTGGAGTTGGGAAGTTGAGCGTGGGGGTCATGTTTACACAAGTGTGCAAGGCCATTCATCACATACTGCTATGAAGGACTGTGACTCTGGGAAATGTGCATGAAATAGTGGATGGCTTTGAAGGAATGGGATTCCTTAACTGTTCTGGGGTGGCAGATGGCATGCATATCCCAATTTTGGCCCCAGACCATCTTGCAATGGAGCACAACAATAGAAAGGGCTACTTCTGTGTGGTATTGTAGGGTGCTTGTGGATCACGGGGGTTGTTTCACTGATATCAAAGCAGGGTGGTCAGGGGAGGTGCATGACACCCGCATCTTCAAGAACACTAGCGTCTATAGCAAGCTGCAAGCAGGGACTTTCTTTCCAGACCAGAAGATCCCAATGTGGGATGTTGAAATGCCCGTAGTACTCATGGGAGATCCAGCCTACACCTTACTTCCATGGCTCATGAAGCCTTACAGTGGAAACGTTGACAGCAGCAAGGAACGCTTCAGCAACTGGCTGAGCAGATGCAGAATGACTGTTGAATGTATGTTTGGCAGTTTAAAGGCTCGCTGGCACTGCCTTTATGGCAGGTTAGATCTCAGTGAGGAAAATATTCCCATGGTCATAGCAGCCTGCTGTACTTTTCATAATATTTATGAAACTAAAGGGGAAAAGTTTTCCTGGGGTGGAGTGTGGAGTCAGATCTCCTGGCACCAGATTTTGAGCCGCCAGATACTGGGGCTATTAAAGGGACACAATAGGGGGGCTATTCGAATCAGGGAGGCTTTGAAGCAACATTTTGACAGTGAGCCACAGTAATGTGTCTTTCTGCAGTGCATTCAGCCAGGCTTTGTTTACTTGCTGCCTGGAATGACCCTTGTGGTGATTGTTTCCTGAGTGTGATCTGTAGTCTGCATATGTGCCCTTTCCCACTGTGTATGAATTCCTGCAGCAACCACCATATGTAGAAAGAAAATGAGTCTTTATTTTTCTCCTATGAGTACATTTATATTAAACAGCAATAACCAATACACAGAATTCAATGTCTTGCGAGGCACAGAACACTGAGGAATAGCCTCTTAATGGAGGCGCTCATAGCTGTGTGTGAGTCCAGCTGTAGTTAAGGAACCTGTCCGAAGGCTGGAGTGCAAGGGGTACTGCAACAGGCAGGGCACATGCAAGGAACGTGAGGGTGGAGTTTGGGGAGGGTATGGCACACAGTTAGCTCAGTTAGGGACTTCAGCATCTCTGTTTGGTCCTCCATCAGTTTATCATCCACTCCTGGCCCTCTGAAATATGCTCCTGGCCCTGCTTCCTCTCCTGGCTATGTATTTTCAATTTTTCATTAATTGACTCTTGCCATGCCCTGTGAGCGTGATCTGTGGCGTCAGAGACATTTGGAGCACCTCTCTAAACATGTCCTCCTTCCTCGGCCTGGGTGCCTCCTTACCTGATGCAAGCGCTTGGCTGGTGTGTAAGGGGTTCCCCTCAAGGCCACATCTACAGAAAAACAAGAAGCAATCAATAGAGGCAGTACTGTGAGTGCACTCACAGCATTGAATCATAATAATTAAGTACACCTCTTTCTCACTCTCCCTTGGCAAGCACTAAGAGTGTCCTAAACATGGTGAGTTTGGCCCATGGGGGTGGTGGGGAGATCCAAGGTGGGGCAAAATGTCTAGGTGGTTTTCAAAATGTCTAGGTTGGAAGGGAATCACTGCAAGCAACTAGGGACACTATTGTAAATTCTGCCAGTTTTCTACAAGCAGGGGGTCATTGAAGCCGATCCCTCATTCCCAATAGTAAACAAGGATGCAAGGGTGCATCTCCTGCTTACCTGTGGCTTCAGACCAGGTCCCTCTGCTGCTTGCCTGTGTGCTGATTTGATCCTTGCACAAGTGATTGCCGATTGTTGTGGGAAAATTTCCTACAGCAGGGTAAGAAACAAAGCTGCTCTGCCAAGGAGCCTTCAGCAGAGAATTGGCGAGTACCTCCCAGGAAAGCTTCCTAGCTATCCCTCTGGAGGATTCCTGTGAAATCTTGGTGTGCATTAACACACTTTCTCACTAGGCCTCCTGTGACACACTGTGCCTCAAAGTAGCACCCTGTAACCCCCCTATTCATCATTCATATATGGCTGTGATATATCAAACGAAGCATGCCATTTAAGAAAGCATATGAAAGGTCATGATCTGCTGAAGCTCATTGTATGTCAAAATATGTATATCGTTAGTGTGCATGAAGTTATGAGATCCTGTTCTATGGTTATTAATGAAATATGTTGTGGGTTTGGGAGTCGCCCACTGCTAGTTGTCCAGTGACAACAAAGGAGGTAACCACACCCAGGCGGGCACTGAATGACCACAGGGAAGCCATAAACAAAGGATTTAAAATTATGTAAGAGAGTTGCACAAGTACCACACAATCTGGATTGCTCAACTCTGACTCAGTTGCACAAGGCCACACCAGTGGGACTGCTCAGGCCTTGCTGAGTCACAGAGTTACCAGGACATGTCTAAGTTAGTATTTTCCAGGCACATGGACTGAGGGTATAAAATAAAGGACAGTGGCATCATGCAATTACCTTTCTCCTCCCCCACCTACACTAACGGAAACAAGAACACTGGGAAAACAAGACCTGAACTGAGGAGCCTGGTCCCAGGCTGAAGAGGAAAATCAGCCTGTGTATTAAGGATTGTAACCTGCCTGCAACATCCAGTGAGGTGAGAAAAACTGCTTGATCCAAATACAGCTTAGTCTAATGAGATTTACAATTTAGATTGCATACTTACTTTTTAATTTATTTGGTAACTATTTCTGACCTTTATGACTACCACTTATAATCACTTAAAAATCTAGCTTTCTGTAGTTAATAAACCTATTCTAATATTTTATCCTTACCAGTGAATTTGTCTAAAGTGCTTGGGAAATTTGCTTAGCTTACAAAGGCTGGTGCATGTCCACTTTCCTTTGATGAAGTGGTGAACTAATGAGTAAGTTTGCACTGTTAAAGAGAAGGTCTCAAGCAGTGTAAGATAATATTTTTCTGGGATTCAAGGTTAGGGGCTTGGGAGCCTTTATGCAGCTTAGCTGGGTGTGCCTCTGTTTGTTGGTGGCTGAGTGAAAACACCACTTTGAGGGGTTCACTGTTTGTCACTGGCCAAGTATTGTGAGAGCCAACCCAGGCTGGAGATTTAAGGGGGCACAGCAGTCCCACAGTTCCAGGTTGTACCCTGGGGGTCTTGTCACACCCCCACATCGTAGCTGCATAGGGAAATGGGAAGCAGACACAAACACTGCAAGTCTTGTACATTTCTACACCTTAACCAACTTCTACCATAAAATGAAACCAAGGACAGCTGTATGTGAAACGGAGCAGTATCAGATCAAAAAGAGCACTTACCAGAGCTCCTTTCTGCACCGTGAGCACCAGAGACAGAGTGCTGGGACTGGCTTGAATCCTCCAGGGTTGAGACGAGGTCCTGACTTGCCTTCATTGCATTGGATGACCCTGCCCCACCTCATCCTCTAATTCCATTTTGTCCTCAGGGTTAAGTGTGCTGGCTGCTGTCTCCAGCCCCCCTGAAGTATCCATGGGGATCTTGGTGCTGGAGTTGGGGTCACCCCCGAAGACAGCATACAGCTCCTTGTAGAAGCAGCAGGTCTCTGGTGCAGCACCAGAGGTCCAGCACCAGGTGGTTTGACTCCCTTGCCTTCTTGTACACCTGCCTCAGCTCCTTGATGTTTATATGTCCCGTTCTGTAGCTCTTTTCCAACATGCCATGAGAAATCTTCCCGTAGCTATTGAAGTTCCTATGGCTGGAAGGAGCTGGGACCGCACAGCCTGCTCTCCCCACAGACCCAACAGATCCAACATCTCCGATGTACTCCAAGCAGCAGCATGTTTGCTGAGCGGAGCCACCACGGTCAGCGGGGAAGATGCAATGTGAGCTCTCCACGCCAAGCAAACAGGAAGCGGAATTTCAAAATTTCCCAGTACTTTAAAGGGGGAGGGGTGAACGTCTGTGTACCTGGCTGCAGGGCAGCCAAGATCGAATTGCTGAGCAGAGTGGTCAGGATGGGCATTGTGAGGCACCTCCTGGAGGCCACGTACAGTGACATAACCAAGCACAGTGTCTACACTGACAAGTTGTCAACCTAACTTTGCCACCAAAAGCTCTACGCCTCTCATCATGGTGGCTTTAGTTTGTCAGCAAAGCGGAAGAGTTAAACTCTTCTGGGGGAGGTTTAGGTTGGATATTAGGAAAAACTTTTTCACTAGGAGGGTGGTGAAACACTGGAATGCGTTACCTAGGGAGGTGGTAGAATCTCCTTCCTTAGAAGTTTTTAAGGTCAGGCTTGACAAAGCCCTGGCTGGGATGATTTAATTGGGGATTGGTCCTGCTTTGAGCAGGGGGTTGGACTAGATGACCTCCTGAGGTCCCTTCCAACCCTGATCTTCTATGAACTGGCAAGTGGAGCATTGTAGTGTGTACACCACAACTGTTTTATTGATGAAAGCTGACTTTTGTCAACAAAACTCTGTTGTGTAGACAAGGCCTAAGTGGATGTACATATATGATCATGAGCAAATTGCAACTATTCATTAAAAAGAAAAATAAAGCAGTACTAAACATTGAGAGTAACTTCAAGACAACATGAAATCCATTTATACAATTGGCTACTGCTACTCTGTATACATTTCAGATCCTTCATCTGATGAAAAACTGGGAATTCTACAACAGTACTCTGGAAAACAAATTGTGAAACACAAGGGAATGGACACAATTGTGGGCCAATCATTCTAAACTTATTCAATGTCAATTTTTCATTATTATGTCTTAATGATGTGTTATTATGATGTGATTTCTAATTAAAAGTCTTATTAGTCTGCAGAAACCTATTTGAGGCATAAAGACATCAGTACTGTGGAGAGAACAAGAGACCCTAACTATATATAGAAAAAAAAATAGCAATTCTTTTTGATGCAAGAGTCAGACAATAATTTTGTTATGTATGCCTAGTGAGGCCAGAGTACATAGGAAGATAACATATAATGCCCAGAAACAATTAAGTTCAGCAATGACCCTTAATTATAAGTATAGACACTTAGTACATGGACTGTTTTCTGTAACTGTAAGAAATCTAACTCCTTGAGAGGCAGTAGCTAGGTTGACAGAAGAATATTTCCATCGACCTAGCAGTGTCTATACCAGGCATAGGTTGGCTTAGCTATGTCTCTCAGGGATGTGATTTTTTTCACACCCCTCAGTAACATAGCTAGGTCAACCTATGTTTCAGTTGTGGACCAGGCCTTAGCCCTAATCCTCCACAGACACCTTCCCCTTCCTTACACAGCCTCAGCCCTCCCCACTTACTGGCGTCTTTTTTTCCTCTCCCACTGCTCCCTGTTCTCCCTTCGTTCCCAAACGGCACCTTATACATTCTCCTATCAACAGGTGGACACATCTGACCATCACACAATCCATGCATGACATAGTACATCTATTTACTAGACTTTATTTAGAATTGCCTCTTAACTTTCCTACCTTTTCCTCATTTTATCTTTCAGTTTTCATAAATCCAGAAAGGGTAAATTATATAAAATTTTAAAATGATATATTTTTTTCAAAACGGACCGATAGCACACAAAAAAAATCACATATCCAAAAATGATACCAGGGCAGGACACAAGGCAAAAAAAAAAGGGGGGTATGGAAACCTGTCAAAAATTATATGATGAGAAAACATATAAAAGTGGGCCCCCACAGTTATTAATAACTGATGGGACAGGAGTTCTTACCCAGCGAAGTCATATTCTCATAGGTCTCCTGCATGACGTCTGTGTAGAGGGTTCTCTGAGCGGGGTCCAGCAGAGCCCACTCTTCCTTGGTGAAATGCACAGCCACTTCCTCGAAGGTCACCGGCCCCTGAAAGAGAATAATTCCCCAGTCAGTACCTGCTGCCCCAGTGATAACCGCACTATTTATGGGAGAGCAGGGCCAGTAAAATGGAAGCTCTTGGAGTGGCATGGTAGCAGAGTCCCACCCCCACCATTTTCAGAGCAGCTAGGAGGCATCAGGGTAAGGTGAGAAAGAGAGCCCCTCATCCCACCCAGAGGACAGAGGGAGGCATGGTCTTCACATTTATTACACAGCTACTAGCCAGAGATTGATATAGTAGATGGAGCCCCCAACTCCCTCAAAATAAAGAAACAATATATAACAAATAAAGGAAAGGGGAAGTCGATAGTAAAGAATATAAGTCAGAAGCTTGGAATTATAGAAAATTGAAAAGGGAAGCTAAGGGACACAAGGGAAGTATGGGCTGGATGAATGCACTACAAGGTGGGTAGAAAGCTGGCTAGATTGTCGGGCTCAACGGGTAGTGATCAATGGCTCCATGTCTAGTTGGCAGCCGGTATCAAGTGGTGTGCCCCAAGGGTCGGTCCTGGGGCCGGTTTTGTTCAATATCTTCATAAATGATCTGGAGGATGGTGTGGATTGCACTCTCAGCAAATTTGCGGATGATACTAAACTGGGAGGAGTGGTAGATACGCTGGAGGGGAGGGATAGGATACAGAAGGACCTAGACAAATTGGAGGATTGGGCCAAAAGAAATCTGATGAGGTTCAATAAGGATAAGTGCAGGGTCCTGCACTTCGGACGGAAGAACCCAATGCACAGCTACAGACTAGGGACCGAATGTCTAGGCAGCAGTTCTGCGGAAAAGGACCTAGGGGTGACAGTGGACGAGAAGCTGGATATGAGTCAGCAGTGTGCCCTTGTTGCCAAGAAGGCCAATGGCATTTTGGGATGTATAAGTAGGGGCATAGCGAGCAGATCGAGGGACGTGATCGTTCCCCTCTATTCGACATTGGTGAGGCCTCATCTGGAGTACTGTGTCCAGTTTTGGGCCCCACACTTCAAGAAGGATGTGGATAAATTGGAGAGAGTCCAGCGAAGGGCAACAAAAATGATTAGGGGTCTGGAACATATGAGTTATGAGGAGAGGCTGAGGGAGCTGGGATTGTTTAGCCTGCAGAAGAGAAGAATGAGGGGGGATTTGATAGCTGTTTTCAACTACCTGAAAGGGGGTTCCAAAGAGGATGGCTCTAGACTGTTCTCAATGGTAGGAGATGACAGAACGAGGAGTAATGGTCTCAAGTTACAGTGGGGGAGGTTTAGATTGGATATTAGGAAAAACTTTTTCACTAAGAGGGTAGTGAAACACTGGAATGCGTTACCTAGGGAGGTGGTAGAATCTCCTTCCTTAGAGGTTTTTAAGGTCAGGCTTGACAAAGCCCTGGCTGGGATGATTTAACTGGGAATTGGTCCTGCTTCGAGCAGGGGGTTGGACTAGATGACCTTCTGGGGTCCCTTCCAACCCTTATATTCTATGATTCTAAGGGGAAATCTAGGGCCAGCAGAGTTAAGGATGATATAAAGAAGATTTTTTTTAAATTGTACTAGAACAAAACAAATCCTAACAATGGTATTGGTACATTACTAAATGGAACTGGTAGAACTATCAATAATAATGCAAAAAAGGCAAAAGTTTTCAATAAATAGTTCTGTTCTATATTTGGGGGAAAAAATAAAGGATTGTCAGGAATCAGGGCCTGCAAACAGAGTCAGTCTGAAAGCAGGGCCTACAGCAGAACCAGTTTCTGTACAACCTAATGAGTGCAGCTCGCTTGTAATAGATTGCCTAATTGGCTATAGCGTGTGATTGATTGGAAGAGTCAGCAGACCAGCTCTTATGTCCAGCAGCCACAGCAGTCCAGCAACTGCTCAAAGCATTCACCAATGGCTGTGGCAACTCCTGCACCTGCTTGTTCCCAGTTCGGCTCCAGCCTTGGACCCAGGCTTGCCCCACTCCAGAGAACCAAGTTCTGATTCCTGACGCCAGCCATGACCCTTGGCTCTGGCACTTGGCCTCTGATCCTGGGTCCCAAGTCCTGGCTACCGATGGCTGCTCCAACCAGTAGGCCTGACTGCCTACATTAGCTTCTGCTAGCCATGGCTCCCCATCACTACTGTCTTCCCCAAGCCCATCCAAGTTGATTAGGTCTGGCCTTCCCTCTGAACTGGAGAAGAACTGATACTGTGCACCAGACCTCTGCCTATACTGCGTGGGACCAGGATACTTTGCATCAAGCTGCCCCACCGAGGTCTGATCTACACCCACGTTGGGAAATGCCAAGCCCCAGCCCCAACAGGGAAGTCTGGGCTTGGCTGGGTCCTTCCCCTCTCCCCACAGCCCACACCAATACTTGTCTGCCTGTATCCTGGTGGTGGCCAATCAGTGCTCTCTGTCTCTGGCATGTTGCGATGCCCGACCCCAACTGGGAAGCGCTGTTGGACTTGGTCAATTTTATGGACTTTATGGATGTGGAATTATCCCATATTAGACCCCCCCAAGCCTCCCAGTGCAAGGATTCCCCAAACTAGTCGAGTCCATACCTGGGTCACTCTTTTCATCACACCAGATGGCTCCCTTTGAGCAACTACTTTTTGAAGCAAACAAGAAACCTTCTAGTTTGGGCTCATTCATGCACCACATTTACCAGTTGTCCTTGGCTCATTGCCCGTGACCTGCACAGCTGCTGGCTGTAAGGCGTGATACCCTTTGACTCCCTGCCTTGCCTACAATCCTGTTTCTCAAGGTCGAACCCAAGACCAGAAACTTGCTGCAGCTTATGCAGCCCTGTAGAGAATTCAGAGACACAAAGAGAAGATTCATAGGTGACCTTGGTAAACCCTATAAAAACTTAAGAATGGCCATACTGGGTCAGACCAAAGGTCCATCTAGCCCAGTATCCTGTCCTCTGACAGTGGCCAATGCCAGGTGCCCCAGAAGGAACTAACAAAACAGGTAATCATCCCCTGTTGCCCACTCCCAGCTTCTGGCAAACAAAAGCAAGGGATACCATCTCTGCCCATCCTGGCTAATAGAAATTGATGGACCTATCCTCCATGAATTTATCTAGTACTTTTTTAAACCCAGTTATACTCTTGGCCTTCAGCATCCTCTGGCAAAGAGTTCCACAAGGTTGACTGTGCACTGTGTGAAGACCCACAACCTCCTCAATTGTGCCATATCAACTCTATCCCGATGCATTTCAGAAAAAGAGACCCAACACCCGACCACTTCATCTACCTTCAGCCAGAAGTAGAGTTTCCCTTCACATGCATTTACTCCCTCTCTGAACCCAAATTACAAGCACTCCAGAACCATCTTGAGGAAAGGTGGCAGAAGGAATTTATTCACATGCCCTGTGGGGGCACCATTCTTCTTTGTGGTGCAGAAAGATGGCTTCCTCGGGCCTTCTGTGGACTCCGGAGAGTTGCACAAGATTGCAGCCTGAAAACTTTATCCCTTACTGCTTATTAATGAGCTGTTCAAGACTCTGCTCTGCCAGGATCTTCACAAAGTTGGACCTCCTTGGAGTTTATAACCTGGTGAGGATCCGAGAAGGAGATTAATGGGAGACCTTCTTCTGTACCTGGTATGGCCACTTCAAGTATTTGGTCATGCTTTTGGGTTGTGCAATGCCCTGGGAACCTCCCATCGTTTAATAAATTACATCTTTAGGGACATGCTGGCCCAGATTACCATCTTTTACCTGAACAACATCTTCATTTGCTCCAAAAGTCAGGACCAACACAATGATCACGTGTTCGGTCTTGGAGAGTCTACACTTAAACCAACCACCTCTACTCAAAGCTTGAGAAATGCAAGTTTAATAAAGACATAGGGAAATTCCTGAGATAGACGGTCACACCTGAGGGACTCACCATGGACCCACCTAAGACTGGTAGTATCTGACTGGGCTGCACCCAAGGATGTACAAGGGTGCAACAATTCTTGGGGTTTGTCAGTTTCTACAGGCAATTTATTAAAAGATTCTCTAGCCTGGTTTCACCCAGAAAAAGGGAGCCCAATTTTGCCTAGTCCACAGAGAATCAGTCAGCCCTTGATTGACTGACGAGTGCATCAGTTATCCTGATTCATTCAGATCCCACTAAACCATTTACCAAGGACAATGCCTCAAACTTTGCCATTGGTGCAGTGTTATCTCAACATGCAGCCTCCCCCCCCCCCCCGACAACCAAATCCACTTTGTGCTTCTTAATCTTGGAAGCTAACTGCCACAGAGAACAATTACAATATTTGGGGAAGGAGATACCATCTTAAAAGGTGGCTTTCAAGGAGTGGTGCCACCTCCTAGCAGGAACCCAATTCCTAGTCCAAGTCCTGATGATCAATAAGAACTTGGAATACCTAGGGACTGCTACATGAATTTGAAGAAGAGGGACCAGCAGATCCCACTTTGATTCTCACTTAAATTTTGTTGTAACCTCTCACCCGGGAATGAGAAATGGGAAGGCAGATGTCCTGCCTGAAAAGTTGAGTCTCTTGCACTTGATGAAGAGCACTCTATCACCGTGCTGACGGTATCCAGCTCTGTCAACAGGACTGTTGTCAGCTGTGTGATGTCTTCCATCCACTACCTGATCCCCAATGACCCATTCCCAACCCAGACCCTGAATGATGCAGGTACCCAACCCAACATGAATCAGAGTTTCAACTACAGAATGGCTTCCCCTATTGCCTGGCTAGGTGGAAGGATAGACTAAGTGGGCCTTGGGAAAGCTGGCTAAAGCAGAGGCAGGAGTCCCAGCTGGAAATGGGGGTGTGGGATCTGCAGCTTGGGATACATAACCAGGGTAGCATGCGACCCTCCAGTAAGCTCCTGCCTGGGATCTATGTACGAAGCCGCACAAGGCAGGA